ATAAAAGTAAAATTAATAACTACTAAATTTCAGTTAAAAAAAAAGTAATAAACCACATCATAATATCGGGGCAATTTTTTTTTTTTTTTTTGTGTGTAGTTTTAATATGTAGTTTTTAAAATGGTGCTGTTTTGGGAAGAGTTACGAAATTGGGGTTGACCGCCACCCACAACGGCGGCACCGGCAGGAGGCGCCACCGTCGGCGGCGGCACCAAGTGAAGACGCCAGCTTCAACGGCGGCAAGGCTGGAGACGCCGCCACCGGTGGCGTCTTCTCCCTATTTTTTAAATTATTAATATTTTAATATTTTAATATTTTAATATTTTATGTTTTTTAAATATTTTATTATTTTTTAATATTTTATTATTTTAATATTTTCTGATTTTTTAATATTTTAATATTTTCTGATTTTTTATTTTTTTTTACAAATAAAACAATTCTAACTACATTCATTAGTTTGATGTTAGTATTAAATTTATTACATTTTATATATTTTATCAATTAGTGTTAAATTAATCATTGCATATATTTATCTAATCAACACAATAAAATAGTGTACAATCTTAAAAACATGTAAACAAAAACAAAAGAAGTTCTAGAAAATAAAATAGTTATATAAAATAAATAGGTCCAATAAAAGAGTTATATAAAATAAATAGGTCCAAAATGAGTACAAAGACAAAATGAGTACAAGAAAATAAAATTGGCACTATGAAGTCAGTGCCTATGTGAACCAGTGCCACATGCAGGTGCCTGTCTAGTCCTACGCGGCCTACCATCTCGACGAATGTCAGGATCTGCCGGTACATCATCAACAAACTGGGTGTCATCCGGTGAATATGGGCAGGAGGCGCCACCGCCGGCGGCGGCACCAAGTGAAGACGCCAGCTACAACGGCGGCAATGCTGGAGACGCCGCCACCGGTGGCCTCTTCTCCCTATTTTTTAAATTATTAATATTTTATTATTTTAATATTTTAATATTTTTTATGTTTAATAATTAATGTTGGGCATGGTCGAGGATACCTTTACTCGCTCCAGCAATAGTACCAGTAGTAGAAGATGATCTCCGTCGGCTTGCATATCCTCACCTTCCTTAAGGTGCACGGTAAACATCTTAGTACTAATAATTTATTTATATGAAGGTTAATATATTGACTTAGCAAATTTTCATATGATATTACAGTTGGATCAGACCTACTAGTCACACTCGGTCCTCGCGAAACAATATACGTGTTTATCGTACGACGTTCGATCGGATGCTCTGGGATCAGGTTATTTATAGGTTAACAACAATTACGTTAATGTTTGTGGTCTATTTAACAATATATTAAAAAAAATATTTTTTTTTTCTGGTTTACATGGATGCCTTATAGTGAACTAGATCCTGAGTTTGGCGCTTTACTTGAGTGTCCTGAGATAGTGCATCCACAACTTTGGTTGTCGAGTTGTCCCCTTATATTTTACGAGAGAGTTGAGATGCATCGTCCGTATAGGGTGCTACGTCAGTTTGGGAGGGTACAACATATACCACAACATCCTACTGATCACGATATTGAGATTAAGTTGCATTCTTATGATCGTCGAGGTGCAGGGGGTAGAGATTGGGCTCGTTTTCACCGTATCTATGTTGATAGATGGCATGGCCGACTTGATTCTCCCGTTGACTATCCATTTATTGAGTTTAGTGGGCCTCAGACAGATCCAGGATACTACGAGTGGTATGAGAGGCACACAACGTCGTTTGATATCACCGATTGACAATCTTGATGATATCAGTTTTCAGGTCGGAGACCCGATTTTACTGGATCTTGTGGTTAGTATTTTTCTCAAAACAACCATTACTTTCGATGTTTTTCAATTTGTTTTTTCAGTTTTTTAAGTTCTTAAACTTGTAATGCCTTTTATTTCGGGGTAATCAGCTTATATCCATGAGTCTTGCTGCTAGGGCAGTTTCTCGAGATGACGATCGGATATATGATCTGTATCAGGACAACGCTACACGGATGTATGCAACTGGGACTCAACTTCTACGTAGAGATGGTGCTTCGTCCAGCTTACCTCCGATACCTGCCATACCTCCTATACATTCTCCGCATCGAGATAGACGTACCAGAAGAAGGTCCAGCGCTGCCGAAAGAGCTACTGAATTGGAGCATGACGTGAGACAGACGAGAGAGGGGAACTATTATGCATCTACATCTCGGGTACCTCCAACTGGAGATGTTGTCGGTCCATTTGCTTCTCATACACCCTTTTATGAAGATATTTCTGTGCATGGAGGTATGGACGATTTATCTACTACACATGGATTTATGGATATGTTCGGTGCGTATACATCTCAGGTACCTACATTTACAGATTTAGTTGGTCCATCTACGAATGATTACGTTCCAGATATGCCATGGTCCGGTTCTCTAGCTACCCCATATCCTCTTGCTATTGATACTCGGTTCTCTTCATGGGGTCCGCATTTGGAGCTCAATTTGGGATACTCAAGTCCCCAAGAGCGGATCCGACCACAGTGTGATGTTTTCCCTGATTACGTAACTCTTCCCAAAACAGCATCATTTTAAAAACTACATATTAAAACTGCAACAAAAAAAAAAAATTGCCCCTCATAATATGCAATAAAAACTTATAGTTATATTTTAATATGTCAAAATTCTAAAACGAAACTTAAATAAAATCATTTTTTCATAAAAAAAATAAAAATTTAAATTAGGTATTATATAATATATATTATTTATAGGTGTATTTTTCGAGAAACAAAATCGGAATTTTTTGGAATTAATTTTGGAAATTAAATCGGATCGAAAACCAGAAATTCCATTTTTTTTAATATGATTTCAGTTCCAATCCAAAAAATTCGAAAATCGGAATTTCGGAATTCAGAATGAAAAAAGTTGTTCTCAAATCGAAACTTTTCGAATCGGAACCGGCGAAAATTGGAATTTCTGTTCCAACTTGCACCTCTAAGTGGAAATGATGTATAGTTGTATTCTTATCTAAAGTTAGGGGCAATCACATTTCATAGGGGGTCGGGAGCTATGTGTAAGTGAAACTTAAAAGGGGGTGTGCAAAGTAGAAAGTAAACTAAATAGGACTGAATCGTATTTGGAACTAGCTCATATGTATTTATAAGGGCATATTATAAATAAGCCCATCAATGAGTACTTATTCATAAAGAGATCGAGACAAAAAACTCATTTACCAATAAGTCAACACAGGGTCCAGATTTTTGTTAAAGACTAAAATAACCCCTTATACTTTAATATGCTCCAATTTCATCATTAACTTAGTTTAACCTCAATTTGACCCCAAATTTCACAAATTATTCATTTTTGACCCAAAACGTTTTTTTCTTTTCAAAAACTTATTTTTTTCCTGCCGGATTCCGGCGTTGACTTTTTTTTTTCTTCCCGATTTTTTCGCCGGTTTCCGGCGTTGACTTTTTCGATTTTTTTTTTCTTTTCTTTCTTTCTGTAACTTTTTTTTTCGTTTAAACAACAATATTGATGTGATTGACAGTGATATTAACTATATTACTGTTAAACACATGAAAATTAACTAAGCTATAGTTTAACACAGTAATATTGTTATATTAATCTCTAGCACAGTAATATTAACACAACAAAACTCATTATTATTGTGTAATAGAGTAATATTCTTATGTTGACCGTTCAACAAATGTAAACATAATAAAAAGGCAAAAGAATTAATATTACTGTGAGTGACAGTAATATTACTATAACAACAGTAATATTACCATCAACCACAGTAATATTACAATAATAGATAGTAATATTATTACGTTACTCCATGAATAACTCAAACAAACAAAAAAATACAAACAAAATAATGATATTGATGTGGTTGACAGCAATATTACTATAAGAACAGTAATATTACCGTCAACCACAGTAATATTATTGTGTTTACGGTAATATTACAATAATAGACAGTAATATTATTACGTTACTCCGTGAATAATTCAAACAAAGCAAAAACCCAAAAAAAGATAATAATATTGATGTTGTTGACAGTAATATTATTGTGTTTACAGTTATTTTACTATCAACGACAGCAATATAATTACGTTGACTTGTCAACAAATCAAACAAAATAAAAAAAAATAACAAAAAATAAAAAAATAATATTATTACATTAATTTACTGTCAACGGCAGAACAATTACATAAATGTATTGTCAACGGCAGTATAATTACGTTAATTAACTATCATTGACAGTATAATTACGTTAATTTACTGTCAGTGACAGCACAGTTACGGTCAACGTTTAGCGACGGACGTAAAAAAAAAACAAAAAAAAAAACTTAAAAAAACTAAAAAAAGTCAACCCTGGAGACCGCCGGTCAACGTCGGAAACCGGCGAAAAAAATCCGTAAGAAAAGAGAAGAAAAAAAAAAAGAAAATAAATCGAAAAAGTCAACGCCGGAGACCGGCGAAAAAATCCGAAGAAAAAAAAAATTGAAAAGTTAACGCTTGAATCCGGCCGGAAAAAAAAATTTGAAAAAAAAAAAGTTGTTTGGAAAAAAACAATTTGGGGTCAAAATTGAATAATTTGTGAAAATAGAGGTTAAATTGAGGTTAAATTAAGTTAAGGATGAAATTGGAGCATATTAAAACTTGGGTATAAAGGGTTGAGGGTAATATTGACATATATACCGTGTTTCCTTTATTTATAATAAATATTAAAGAGATGAGCTTATTGATGAAAAAGATATAACACCTAAACCTAGAATAATAAACATGCTTCGTTGGGGACTTTATCGCAATAACCCCTATTTATAAATAAAAATCCTTATAAACAAACATTACTTTCATTCTCAAATTATTCTCGTATTTTCTCAAAATAAATAAAAAATAACTAAATCGAATCCAAACATTCTAATGTCTTCTAAAAAGAAAAAAAGAAAAAAGAAAAAGGCATTTGGATTGTAATGTTAGTTAATATTAGGCTAAAAAAGCCCGATCAAGAAGCCAGTCGCGCCTCCACAAACTATCCCTACACCCGCTCCCACCTGATACCTTCTCAACTTCTCCTTATCTCACGCTCTTTCAATTAAGCTTACTCGACACTGTCCTCTCTCTCTCTCTCTCTCTCCTCTTTCGCTCTCACGCACAAACACACACACACACAACAGACACACTACACTAACACATGGCATCGGAAAATCAGCACGACGCCTTAATCTCCGCAGTCCCACCACCCAACACCACCACCACCGCCCCTTCGCCAGACCCACCTCCACTCGACAACCCAACCACCGCCACCCCAAATCCCCCAAAACGGCAGCGCCGCCCCAGCGTCCGCCTCGGCGAGATCGGCGGCGACCCACCTTACGACGCCCACCAACGCCGCCCCAGCAGAACCTGGCGCTTCCACAAGGACCCATCCTTCGCCGCCAAAACCTCCAAAACCCGCCCCCTAACCAATCTCGTCAACGGCGGAGCCGCCGCAGCCGATTCCAATGTCCACGATTCCGTCGAGCTCTCCCAAAATTACGTCGATTTCACCCAACGGAAGCCGAAAATCAAGAAGCCCACAAAAAGGGTCCGCACAAATTGGACCAAATTCGACTCCTCCGCCATCAACAACAATGTAGGCGGCGGCGGCGGCGGAGGAGGAGCAGGGTTAATCGAGAGCACGAACCTCTTACAAGAAGAAGACGACAACAATAACGACGAATTTAGGGATTTCGAGGCCGAGGGTTCGGATAGCCCTATGTTGAAAGAGCAACAAAGCCCGATTAATTCGGGAGAGAACATGGGTTTACAGTTTTGGGATCAACAGAGAAGGGGCAACGGAGTTCATATTAACAACGAGGTTAATTCGCCGGAGAAGCAGAGTGAAGGGAACAACGTAGGGGTGAGGGAATGGTTACTAGGGTTAGGGTTGGGGAGATACGCCCCCGTTTTCGAGATACACGAAGTCGACGACGAGGTTTTGCCTATGCTCACATTGGAGGATCTTAAGGATATGGGAGTCAATGCCGTTGGTTCTCGTAGGAAAATGTACTCCGCCATTCTCAAGCTGCGTAAAGGCTTTTCGTGAGTTTGTTTTTCTTTTCGTTTCTTGTATGGATTGTTTTTCTTTTTTTAGTTGTTTGTTGTTTTTCGTTTATGTGTTAGCAACTTGAGTAATAATAATAATGATATGATTTTTGTTGAGGTAGTAACTTGGGTTTTTCGTTTATTTCGATTTTGATGTGCCCGTGGTTAGTTAGTTGTGACAAATACAATGTTGTGACTTAAGAGTTATAAATCTTTAGGAATGTATTGAACTTGTGTATGTTTGTGACTCGTGGTTGTGAAGAATGTGTGGTGATCTCAATTTACAATTGTCTTTTCGTCGGCAATAGGATATTTGTTTGGTACGATTATCAGTCTACTAACACTAGTTACAAACAACTGGAATAACTTGCAAGTTTTACGACATCAAGAATTTCGAAAAATGACGATAGGAAACATTAGTCAAAAGCACAGACCGTTTGAAATGGCGGAATAGAGAACACATGTCTGGAAAGTAGATGGGTTAGATGGGGACGCAGTAGTGGGGTGGTGGCAAGTAGGTATATCCGGAAAAGAGGGCTGGCTGCATAACTAGGATAAGTGGGTAGATCTAGGGTTTCAATTTGGGGATTTTTCTTTTCTTTTGTTCCCACATAAATTAGACTTTCAAATAGGAAAAAGAAATTCAAAAATAGGATTAGTAGAGGAAATGAAAAATTGAACTTGAACTGGCTCTTGATACCTTGTTAGAATTATAAAGTAGACAAGTCAGGATGCAGAGGCGACAGTTTTATTATAGAATAGGCAGAGTTAGACAATATTGAATGAACTCACTCTCTTTATGTAGTGATGGGAAGAGATTTGTTCCGTAAGACGGAGATTTATACATGAGGAGAGTGAATATCAACCTTGCGGCTCGGAATGGTTGATATTTGTAACATCGTTTAAGTGAATTTTCTTGTTTTAAGATATATTTTAGCTTCTCGGTCATGATGTTATTTGTGGAACTGTGATAGATTGCCTCGTCAATTTGAATAGGTTTTATATTTCAAGACATTAGTTTACAGATTCTACTTTGGACGGATCCTATGGTTTCTCTTAAATATTGACTTGCTACTACAGTATATGGTTGACAAATGTTGCCGTTTCTGAATGATATTACTCGAACAAGTACAGTTGATATATGGTTATTTGTCAATTCTCTGTTGGTTTGGACGAAATTGTTAAGAGTTTTCACTTAACATGGGAAAGCAGTTCTTTTGTTGTCGCAACTATTTGATTCGGTTTTACTTCAGCTGAGAGAGTGGTTTCCATTTTGAATCGGTACAGAACAGTTTTCTTTATAGTCGAGCTTAAACATTTTTTGATTCTATAGTTGAATTTTTTTAACATGGGTAAGTGCAACCAGGTCGAACGAGTAAATGGACCCATTAAGAACAAATAAATGATCTTTTTAGTTAGAAGCAGGACATATAACATATTTTACGGGTCAGTTGAATCTTGTCTGATAGGAGCAATTGATTATAAACTAAAGTAGAGCAATTAGTCTCGGAATTTAGTATGTAGAGTTGGATGTGAAACGCTATATTTCTTTATATGGATAACCGAATTATCTAAAAAAAAAATTAAACTACTTTCTGATTCAATTTGCAACTATATCACAGCCGTCTCTTTATCGTCTTATTGGTGCTTTTTCTTAGAAGCAGCTAATTGTCGAATCCATTTTACAAGAAATTTAATAAAAATAATATATTTTGGATTTCCTCGTTTAATTTTAGACTTGTGCGATCTGAGGCTGATTGAAACATTAGAGATGTTAATCTTGTAAGTACTGTTTTATGCTTTGAGCAATTACCTTTCAGCTTCGAACAAACATACATTTCCCTAATGTTTTGATATGGTTCGAGGAAATCTCACTTTCTTAGGCTCTGAATTTTTCTGGCATAATTTTGTACGTTTGCATGGATTTTGCGTCAAATAAGTATATTAATGAAAAAATTGCAGACTCTAATTTCATTTTATAACTCGTATAGATCAGGGTCAGTCGACTTCTTATTTGTTTTTGTTAACAATATATTGTTGGATACCTGTGTTCCTATATATGCGAGATAAATCTGTAGGCTTTGCGAACGTTCGATTGAAGAAAGCTGTGTAATTTTGTGATATTTATATCATCAAATGTTTCTATAAAAAAAAAACCATATTATATTTTTTTTGACACTATTCTCCTTGCTCTATGTATCAATCGTATTTTGAAAATATCTGCATATTTTGTATGGTCAAATTAATAGTATCTGTATTTTGGGTGCATCTGACAATTATTTCTTTATTGTTTTCTTGGATTAATTTATGTGATTTTTCTTATTGTGATTTATGTTGTACCATCTCCTTGTTAAGAACATTACTTAAATAATAGTGTCTTCTGGTTCCGGTAATAACCTAGTAGATTATTTGTTCAATATAAGAAAGTAGAGTCAGTATTAATGATAAGTTGTTCAGCCTTTAATACAAGCAAGGTTTAATAACACTAGGATTATTAGTCCAGTACCATCAACTCTGTCACAACAAACCAAATTAAATTGAGACTAACAAACCACCGCATTCCAAAACAACTTACATAGCATTCACAACTTATATATATATATATATATATATATATATATATATATATATATATATATATATATATATATATATATATATATATATAAATTAATTTGTAAAAAAATTGGTATAACTGTTGTAGAATATAGTGCAAAATATAAATATAAGAACTTTACTAATATATTTAACCCTTTGTGCAAAATAAAGATTGATTAGCCTAAGGAGAATATTGTTAATGAAAGCTTCTGTACCCATTTCTCATTACATGCCCATTTTTTATTACATAATGTTGCTATTTATAAAAAAAACCATTGAAGCATTTGTCATGCTTTAATACAAGGAGAAAATGACACGTTAATGTTTGAGATTAATTCACAATTAAAAGAAATGTTTGGATTAATAGTTACACTAAGGCTATAATGTGCACAAGCTATCACGTAAAGGTTTTTGTGCTTCACATGCAAAGAGTAATATCATTGGTGGTGAAGTCCACCGTGTCACAAAACTCCTCCTTGGATGAAACACCATTGTGTTGATTAAAAATTCAAGTCGTGTGCATAAGCTGCATCATTAAAAACCTTTGCTGGAAAAATCCATTGGGACAAAAACCAGTCATAAGGGAAAAATAGTGCAGCGCACCATTGCTCCTCCTGAAATGAGCAATATAAACCTCCGGGATAGGTCGTCAATCTTGATTCGTATTGGCTCTTCTCATTCCAATGCAGTATATCAATTTCTCGAATATAGAAGTCGGTAAGGCCTTAGTAAACAAATCAGCAAGATTGTCACATGAACGAATTTTTATCGAACATCGATCTCTTCATTCTTCAGAAGCTCATGTGTATGGAAGAACTTTGGGGATATATGCTTTGTCATGTTACCCTTTATATATCCACCTTTTGTCTGTGCTATACAAGCATCGTTATCTTTGTAAATGACAGTAGGCTTGTTGTAACTGGATGTAATTGGCAGGAGTCTCGTATATGTGAAATAACTGATCGTAGTCAAACACATTCTCTGCTAGTCTCATAAAGAACTATTATTTCTGAATGATTTGATGAGGTGGCCACTAATGTTTGTTTGATAGATCGCCAAGATATATCTGCGCCATTATAACAAAATAAATATCCAGTTTGTGAGCGAGCTTTGTGCTTGTCAGATCGATATCCCGCATCGGCATAACCAACTATCCCTGGTTAGTTTTATTTTTCGAATAGAATAATCCCAAATACGCAGTACCACGGAGATATCGAAAAATATGTTTAACACCATTCCAGTGTCTCTGGGTTGCCTCATAACTGTATCGCCCAAGCACAGTTACGGCAAAAGCTATATCAGGTCGAGTGCATTGTGCTAGATACATTAAAGCGCCGATTGCATTGAGATATGGCACTTCTGGGCCAAGTATCTCTTCATTAAGTTCTTTAGGTCGGAACGGATCCTTTTCAGGATCTAAATTGAGTACAACCATAGGAGTGCTTAATGGATTAGCATTTTCCATATTAATTCTTTTGAGCAATCGTTTAGTATATGCGGAATGATAAATAAGTATGCCGTTATATCTATGCTCAAGCTCTATCCCAAGACAGAGTTTGGTTTTTCCAAGCTCCTTGACCCCAAACTTTTTCTTTAAATATTCAGCTGCATTGGCTAACTCTTCAGGAGTTCCAATCAGGTTCATGTCATCCACATAAACCGCAATGGTAGCAAATCCGATTTCTGATCTTTTAATGAAAACGCATGGGCAAATGGGATCATTTTTATAACCTTGCCTGATAAGGTATTCACTCAATCTATGATACCACATGCGACCGGATTGGTTTAGACCATACAATGATCTTTGTAATTTGATTGAGTACAGTTCACAAGGAGCGCATTTTAAATCCATCGGGAATTCTCATATAAATATCAGAATCTAGTGAACCATATAAATAGGCCGTTACAATGTCCATTAGACGCATGTTTAGTCCCTCTTGGACGACCATATTGATAAGAAAACGGAAAGTGATCGTATCCATCACCGATGAATATGTCTCATCATAATCAACCCCAGGCCGCTGGGAGAAGCCTTGAGCAACAAGGCGGGCTTTATATCATACAATTTCGTAGTTCTCATTTCTCTTACGGACACATACCCATTCATACCCAACGGACTTTATATTATCCAGAGTTTGAACAATTTTCCCAAATACTTTCCGTTTTTCTAGAGAAGTCAATTCAGATTTTATTTCTTCCTCCCACCTAGACCAATCACTTCTTTGGCGGCATTCTATTATGGAACGCGGTTCACTATCATAATCATCGTACATAATTTCTTGTGCAGCTGAGAATGCAAAAATATTATCGATGATTATTTCATTCCTATCCCATATTTCATTGCAATAACTTGTGGGATTCTCGGTATTCCCGGGATTTAATATTTCTTTTTCGATAACAGGCTCAACAAATTTATCTGAAGCATTCTCACTGGGAATCGTCTCATTTAAGGGTTTATTGGTTTTCCCCTTTCTTTTTTGAGGAACAACGTCCTTTGATCCAATATGTCTACCCCGTTTTTGTCGTGGGGGGTCATCATTCATTTTCGCATGTTCTTCAGGAACATTGATCCTAGCTGGCACATTCACAGCTGGAATATAAGATTGTAACTTTACTAGTATCATTAAA